AGAGAGAGAGAGAGAGAGAGAGAGAGAGAGAGAGAGAGAGAGAGAGAGAGAGAGAGAGAGAGAGAGAGAGAGACGAGATTTTGTTTCTTGAAAACGATATTCGGTGAACGAATGTTTCTTACAAAGTATTCTGTTGTGTTCACTTTCTTTTTTCATGCCGACATTACGCATGCCACCCATACTGCAGGCGGCAAGCTAGATATGATTAAGATGTTCGAGGTGATGAAGAGGGAGAGGTGATGGAGGCGAGATAAGGAGGGAGATGACATTCGTTCCAACTTGTGTTCTTCTTTCTCTGCTGCTGCTGCTTCTTTCCTCCCGATTCTTCTTCTTCCCTTGTCTTTCTGTCTTAGTTACGACGGATGGCATTGTCTCATTCATGAGCTTTGCATTATGAAATAGGCAGGAGCTTAGCATCATCATGAAAAATGTCATTCTTTTTGTTTCTCCATTGTCCTTCCTTCCTCTCTCCTCCACTTCTACTCCTTTTCTATCCTCCCCTTGTCCTTTTTTTCTTTCAATGTCTCCCATTCTCGCTCTCCCCTCCTCTTCTTCCCTTCTTTCTTCTCCTCTCCTCCTCTTCTCTCCTCCTCATATTTTTCTTCTCCTCCACATATTTTCCTTCTCTCTTCCTCTTGGTCGGCTTTCCTCCTCCCTCCTCTCCCCTTCTTTTTCTCTTCTCTTGTCCTCCTCTCTCTCTCCATGTCTCGTTCTCTCCCTCTCGCCTGCTCCTCTCCTACTATCTTCTCTTTTCACCTTCTTCTCCTTCTCCTTCTCCCTCCTCTCCTCTTCCTCTTCTCTATTCATCCTTTCCTTGTTTTCTCCTCTTTTTCTTCTTCTCGCTCCTCCTCCTCTTCATCTATATTTCTCTTCCTCTTCTCCGCTCCTCGTCCTCCTCGTCTGCTTCTCTCATTCTCCTCCTCCTCCTCCTCTTCTTTTTCTTCTTCTTATTCGTCTTCTTCCTCTCCTGTTCTTCTCTCCTCCTCCTCTTTTTTCCCCCTCCTCTGCTTCTTCTCTCCTCCTCCTCGTCTTCTTCTTCTTCCTCCCACTCTTCTTGTTCTCTTCCCCTCTCACTCCCATCCTCCTCCTCTGCTTCCCCTCTCTCCTCTTCTTCTTACTGCCACCTCCTCGTCTTCCTCTTCTTTGTCCATTCATTTGCCGTTGACCAGCATCCCTCTGCTCTTTGTCATGGAGGCAGCATTGCTGATAACACATTGACTTTAGCACAAACATCCTAATCCTCCTGCTTGGATTCTGCCAATTGCTTGTACTTCATCTGGTTGGCCAAGTGAACCTCAGCGAGTCTATATGGATAGCATGTCCACCTTGGCTCTGCTCGTGACTCCATTTATTTCTCAGACTAAGATTAAAAAAAAACTTTGGCTACATTTCTTTCCACTCGATTTTTCACTCATACAATATTTGTTGCACAATACATCCTTGGTACCAAGCAGACTGCACCTGCCCATGGCACCTTGTCTCTTAGATAGGTTTCTGGAAATGAGCAAGGATGATAGTTGGTACTGGACTCTCAAACGAACTGTACGGTTGTACAGTTGGCGTTGTGGTTGTTTACTGACTATGTCGGCATGCCCTCCTGGTCATCCCTTTATATTCCTCCACCTTTCCTTTCAGCTGTTTGCTGTCTCACCTCTGTCCTTTAAGTCGACGAACAGAGCAATGGCAGGCGAACTTGTCAAAGCTCATTTATGATCTTGTCCCCACGACGAAGGAGACTTGGACATCTATGATCTGGGAATATGTTTCCACTGCAAGCCTGCAGCTAGAAACAGCACTTACCTTGTAGTCGCCGATGCGGCAGTGGTGCGCTGCCGGTGCTGATCGTGTGTGAATGATTAGCAGACAATCCCATCGTTGAGGTCCAACCTGCCTGCAGTTGTCGCTCACGAAGCTGTGGCCCAGAAGGACCTCCCAATTGCAACACTCTATCATCATGACTGCGCGTCTGCCGAGAGCTGCTTTCTTCATAGCCAGCAATGTCTGCGTGTGACTTGACGGTCACCAGTTTCCCTCCACGACCAGGCTGGCGCTCCATACTCAAGCTGAAAGCATGTGATTGGCGCTCTCTCAAGTTACTCAGAGGCTGAGAATCCACTTCAGCAGAGGGTCTGACAGAAGCTCTGGACATAGCACGGGGACCCTTCAGTTCGGGCAGCGATGATGCTCCAAACTTAACACTCGATCGCTGATGTGGTTGGTCACTCCCTATTGCGAAAAGCTTCCCTGCAGCAAGCAATCGAGAGCTACTGAGTGTACTGTGCTTGCCACGGTGACCGCTATGCTGTCGCCTACTTCGTTGCATGAGAGCTTCAGACGATCCTTTCAATCCCAAACCTGAATCACAGAAAGTTTGAAAACAACATAAGCCCACCAAGCAGTTTATGGATGATGAAATCTACACCCGAGTCCCAGGTGAACGACACACACCTGTAACTGTTAGTCAGCCAGTAATGAAGCGACTGACGAGTTCAAAAATTGAATCCCGTTGCACAAACCTGGCTGCTGCCAGGTCAGTGAATGATACACAGTATCACACGTGTGTAACTATTCATCAGTCTGTATGACTCTGTAACGAATAAAATATTGACATTTGAGGACTTTGTGTCCTTTAAGCAGGAAGGAAGGATAGGAGCTCTCCAGATCATTACTACGTTCTCCAGTCCACAAGATTGCCATGAAGAGAATTGTTCATCGGTTGGTCACGAGTTCAAATTTTGTGAATGAAACATTGATGACATCAAAAGAGTTGAAAAGACTCTGTTCTTCAAGAAGAAAGGAACAATGCGTGCTTAGGTTCTCAAGACAGCAAGTTGACATGCTGAGACACAATCAGACATTGTGATGATCACACTTCCTTCTTCCCACAAACATAACGCCCAGGCAGTTTGAACAAATTGAACGCCTGATGGGAGTTTTATTTGTTAAGAATGCCGAGGCGTTCTGCCAAGAGAAGATCATAGTAACCATTAGTCACTAGGGAAGGGGGCCCAAGGTGGGTAGGACCCTAATGGCGCTCCCTGAAAATTGTTAGGTGAATATGTGATGCTGGCCCTGATTGCCTGCAGGCAATGATACCCACCACTACTGTCTTCACTGGAATCGAACATTCGGTCATTGTCGCTTTATCTAGACTGAAAATTGGCCCAAATATAGCTAGAATGACTATTGTAATGACCCACCAAAACACGGACTGAGAACACTGCTGATTTCTGAGTTCTGCCGCTGGAATGTATGCCTTGCTGAGATTCCCGCATTCTGCTAAGTTTTCTAAGTCTGTGTGTGTGCACGCCTGCTGGTCTGCATGCTTGTCTGAGTGCTTGTCGGCCTGAGCGTGTGTGTGACCTGTGAGGGTACTTGTTCGTTTGGAGGCCCCACAGGGACGGTACTTACCTGTGGCCGTGACTTCGAGGGTTGCTGCGGGAAAAGCACTCAAGTAGCGGGGGTAGGCCCGCGACACTTAGAGCAGCGGGAAAAACACTCAAGTAGCAGGTAGGCCGGTACCACTCAAGTAGTGGTAGATGTGTCAGGTACTCGAGGCCGAGCAGAAGAAGACAAAAAGTTGGCATTTTTAGAGGCTCAATAGATGGAGGCTAGAGGTAGGCCGATACCAGTTCAAGTAGCCTGAGTCTAGGGCCTGTACAGACAATATCAGAGCCTGCAATTATCTTTCCCTCCGAAAGGGAGGAGGTACCGGTTGCTTGGAGGCCGCTCGGCCTGGAAGTCACTACCCAAGAGGCAAGTAGAACTCTATATCTTCTGGAGGCGCGAGTAGCTCCTCCTCATTTGCGGTGTGCAAGGTTGGACAACATACTGCTTGAGCGAGCGCTGCCTGGGACAACGAAGAGGAGCTGGGCGCTCAGCCTGGCTGTGGCGAGCAGCCCAGCTTGAGGAGGAGGAAGAAGGGGGCGAAGGAGGAGTGTGGCGAGGTACCTACCTAGCAATGGTGGACGCCATCTTCATCACCTTGCTAGGCGCTGCATCTGGAAGGCCCAAGTTGGGGTAGTGCCGCACCAAGGAAGCTTTGAGGCAGACTCAGGCATGGCGGCCTGAAGAGCAGCGACCATAGCTGCTTTGAGTTGTCTTGTGCACAGAAGGGCAGAGCCCTTAGTAGTTCGCCATAGCCTTGGCATGCGAGAGGAAAGTGAAGGAGGAAGCCATGGCTATGGTGGACCTATTGTTGGGCTGGCCGTAAGAGGGAACTTCGGATATTGACTATGGTTGAACCACTCATTGTTATTATTATTATTTGGGAGAAGAACAAGATTGGTGAAGACAAGGAGGAGGAGGAAGGTGGAGAGAGAAGGGGGATTTGTCATTGGTCTTGCTCGTGTACATCTTCTTCTTCTTCTTCTTCTTCTTCTTCTTCTTCTTCTTCTTCTTCTTCTTCTTCTTCTTTGGTCTATATCTCTTTGCAAGTGCTTTCATTTCTTTCGCAATTGGGTGGCATTGTCTTTCCTTGTGAAATTTGCACTTTGGAAATGACCAGGATCATAACAGTATTGGCACTATGTTATAAGGAGGCCACGAAACGAAGGCCTAGGAATTATTGACCCAGGAACGGAAACCAAAGCCTTGCAAATCAAATGGATCATCAAACTGTTGATGAAACCGGACAGCGCCTGGAACAAACTCGCATTAGATAGTATCAGATCGGTGGCCCCAATTCCCTCCCCGAACGATATGTCAGGCTTGTTCTGGGTAATGAATAAAGAATGGCTGATAATGACAGGACGGAGGAACCGTACGAGGAATAACAGTCCAAAGGACTATCGTCCACACACTCCGAACTGGCCGGCGCTGCTTCGATCGTGGAGGAAAATAATTCCTAACAAGACCAACAGACCGAAGTGCAAACAGGTGGTCCCGATGAGAGTGGGGGAGAAGTGCGACGAAATAAAGAGGAGGGAGATATAACTAAGATTAGAAAAAGACGGACAGGACGATGAGGGGATAAGGGAGACATCGAGGAATCAGCAAGAGGAAAACGACGAGGAGAGAAAGACGCGAGGAGAAGTCGACCACTCCTACGCCATCGAGTGAAAACACCGAACAAGTGAAAGTCTAGAAACAATAATAACGGGAAGGGAACTTTTTTTGTTTCCACGCAGTAGCAGAAATCTCGCTCAGGCGAGAAGACGCTACACGAGTAGAGTCGAGCTGTTCCCGCCAATTTCTGTCAACGAGGGATCAGGGAACAAGAACGGGGGAAGCCGCGGTAAGCCACGCCTCTGGGCGTGGCTTTGCGGATCACGACAAGGGCAAACCAAATAACCGAAAAGACGGATGAGGGTCGACGGGAAGGGAAGAAAAGGTTAGGGAGAAAAGCGAGGAAGAGGAAAACTCGAGAACAGAGTAAGGGGAAAGAGTGCACAGGTACTATCACGGGCCTTTACTAAGAGGAGGTGAAGACAAAGAAAGGGGAGAAAAAAGAGGAGCAGGGGGTCGAAGAGAAAGGCTTTGCTAATTGAGGAAGGAAGACTCAGAAGCCAGGGGAAAGAAAGACCTATCGAACAAGACAAGGTGAGGACGGGACGAGTCAACAACTTCCAAAATCTCCATGATTGCGTCCCGAAAGGTGTGAACAGTCTCCTCGAAAGAAAAAAGGTAAGATTCAAAGACCCCTTTCGTATCCTATCCCCGATTGTGCAAGAAACAACGAACGGACAGCGTGAGGGACAACAAGGAGCAAGCGTCCAAGGCGGGAGAACGACACCACACCAAGAGGATAGTTCCGTCGTCAGCGAACTCACGCCACACACAGTCGTCAACAGTACCTAAATCGAAAGAGCCTTGTGAGGCAACCAATCCGACAAAGAGATCGCAACCCGTAGAGGTCGAAGCCCAACAGAAGAGTGTCTTATAGTATGCGAAGTAGGAACACCATCATCACAGCCCTCTAAACGTCCTCCCCACTGACCCCCCACCACCATCTTCCCATTACCCCACACTAGACGAAATTCCCGATCTCCACTCCTCATAACAATACCGCTCTTCACTCCCCAACACCTAATCCCCATCCTCCCAGCCCATCCACCCAGCCCCCCCACCCGAACTTTCACGCAGGATCCCAAACTAGACACACCCTCAGACTCCCTACCCTTCCTCCCCCTTCCCACCCATTTCTCCCACCCTCCATACGCCACCCCTTCTCTCCTCCCTGCTCGTTCCTACTCACAGCACCCTCTCATACCACCCCCTCACCATCTGCCATCCCCAAAGCCCCCATTTTCACTCCAAGTTTCTCCCCAATCCCACCCATTAATATTCGTTATTAATTAATCAATAACGAAGATTGATCATTACTGTTATTATCTCAATATTAGACTATTATTAATCCTATTTTAATAATATTTTATTATTATTTTATATTAGTCCAACACATCAGCGTCATCTCTAACCTAGCCTTACTAAGGCTAGGCCGGACTGATTTTAGACACTCTTCGGACCCAGAACTCGATCTCCAAGCGGGGAGGGAAATCGCTGCCCAATTCTTCTCGAGCCTCTCAAGCTCATGAACTGCAGAGACGGAGGCAACTTTCGTCCTTCAGGAACGGAGGGCAAAAGCTGTCAAAATCCGGGGACACGTGAACTAATGAAGGGACGGAGTTGCATTTGACACAACAAGCAATTTTTCCTAATCTTCACTTTCCCAACCCATCTTCACCACACGCAGACTTTCATCTTGATACAGATTAACAGTCTATGCGGACCAGACACCATCTGAGCATAATCCGTTCCCCAAGAGGGGAGGCTATCCGCTGCCCAAATTTTTTCACGGTCCCCCCTCTCACCTGAACATATACCGATCCACAAGAGGGGAGCACTAATAATACCAATATTAATTAACATTCAACGATTTATATAGATCAAAATCGGTTCCGTTTTTCTTTTTTCTTTTGGAACTCCAAGCACCCAACATCACTCAGCGACTCAACTACAGGCCTACCCGAAATAGCAAGCTGCACCCAGACTGCTCTCGGCCCCCTGAGATCCCGCCAAGCTAGACTCAAAATCAGTACTTGGCGGAAGACTAGGAAGTTTGAATAGCATAGAAAGCGGTAGCAAGGCTAAGCTCCGAAACTAGTATCAATCCCAGCCCCCCAACAGAAACCATCATTTACTGGTTCTGAACAAGAAGTTGGGCACACCAACGACAACAGACAACACTTCAGAGCCCTGCACAGCAGACAAACAAAGGGTAAGAAAGGCAGATCATACAGCCCAAGAACAGAAGCAAAAACCAATCGGAAAGGACCACCAAGAAAGAAAGGCAAAAGGAAACAACCAAAGGAAGAAAGGGCTGGCAAGAGAAGGAATGGGGATGGAAACTCAGA